ATCTGCATGTGGATCAATAGCTTCCTCTCCGACCGCAGACAGAGGGTCAGAGTGGGCCATCACACATCAACGGCCTTAAGCCGCAGTACTGGCTCTCCCCAGGGCTGTGTGCTGAGTCCCTTGCTCTACTCCCTCTACACACATGACTGCTCCCCTGTCCATCACAGCAACACCATGGTGAAGTTTGCGGATGACACCACAGTTGTGGGGCTCATCTCCAGGGGGGAGGGCGAGTCTGCCTACAGAGATGAGGTGGAGCGGCTGTCAACATGGTGCAGGGAGACCAACCTGCTCCTCAACACCTCAAAGACCAAATAACTCATCATAGACTACAGGAGAAATAAAACAGAGATCCCACCATTAATCATCAGCGGGGACTGTGTGGAGAGGGTGGCAGACTTCCGCTTCCTGGGAGTGTGAACACCTCTGAGCTGTTGGAAAAGGCCCAGCAGAGACTGTACTTCCTGAGAATACTCAGGAGAAATAACATCACACAAAGACTGCTGGTGTCCTTCTACCGTGCCTCCATTGAGAGCATACTAACATACTGCATATGCGTATGGTACACCAGCTGCACAGCGGCTCAGGGGAAAGTGCTCCAGAGGGTCATCAACATCGCTCAAAAGATTGTCGGCTGCCCTCTCCCCACACTGGAAGGACTACACAGTTCCCGTTGCCTCAAAAAAGCCCAGAACATCATAAAGGACAATCACCATCCTGGTCACTCCCTGTTTGAACTGTTGCCTTCAGGCAGGAGGTACAGATCAATTAAAGCAAGGACAAATAGACTCAAACAGTTGTTATCCAACTGCAATAACTACCCTCAATGCTGCAAAAAATAATGTGCAATATGGAGATATTAAATGGATCAATGCAAGGACAGATGGTATGCATGCAATGACTGTGTTCATTCTTTTTTTTATGCAATGACTGGGTGTGTATGACTTTGTGTGTCTCTGTATGCTGCTAATGATATTATGTGTTTCTACTTATTTTTTTTGGTAACACTAGCACTTAAATTAATTATTTATTATTTTATATTTCTTTTTTTTTCTATGAATGATGCACTGACTGGAGGGCACTTTAAATTTCGTTGTACCTGTGACAATGACAATAAAGATCTATTCTATTCTAAACAGCTAGAAGCTAGAACAGCTTGTCACTCTGGTTCTTCCGGGGTTACTACATTCTGTAAAAGCCAAATAAAAATACCTAATACAGCTCATTTTAGCTTCCCGCAATTAAATTACTGTGATTATCTACGATATTGACGTTTACAATGCGGGACTCATAGAAAACCCTGCTGCATATGAAATCAAGTGCTTTCTAAACTGACGCCAGCCACCAGGGGTGATCGAGATATTCTGATTTCACTTTCGGGGACCTGTCGTGTCAATTCCTTCAATTTTATTTGTCAGGACACTTTTCAAATAGAACAGGTCTAGACCGATCTCCTTATAACATTATTTACAGAGACCCAACAGTACCCACCATGAGCAAGCACTTGGCGACGGCGGCAAGGAAAAACTTCCTTGAGAGAGAGAGAGAGAGAGAGAGAGAGAGAGAGAGAGAGAGAGAGAGAGAGAGAGAGAGAGAGAGAGAGAGAGAGAGAGAGAGAGAGAGAGAGAGATGCCCCCCTCCACCTTCACACAGATCTTCAACAGATTACTGGAGCTGTGTGAAGTTTCTTCCTGCTTCAGACGCTCCACCATCGTCACGGTTCCCAAAAAACTCTCCAGAGGACTAAATAACTACAGGCCAGTCGCCCTGACATCTGTAGTCATGAAGTCCTTTGAAAGACTGGTGTTTGCCCACCTGAAGGACATTACAGGCCCCTTACTGGACACCCTGCAGTTTGTCTACCAAGCAAACAGGTCAGTGGATGATGCAGTCAACATGCAGCCTAACACACTCAAAACTGTTGAGATGGCAGTGGACTTTAGGAGGAGCCCCTGAACTCTGCCCCTCATCACCAAACTCAACAGCCCTGTGTCTGCTGTGGAAAACTTCAGGTTTTTTGGATCCACAATGTCCCAGGACCCTAATTGGGAGTCCAACACTGACACCATCATCAAGAGGGCTCAGCAGAGGTTGCACTTCCTGCGCCAGCTCAGGAAGCTCAACCTGCCTAAGGAACTGCTGATCCAGTTCTATACTGCAATCATTCAGTCTGTTTCATCTATCACTGTCTGGTTTGGACCGGCCACCAAACAGGACAAGAACATACTACAGTGAACAGTCAGGACTGCAGAGAGGATCATTGGTGCCAACCTGTCCTCCATTCAGGACCTTTACCTGTCCAGAGTCAGGAAACGGGCAGGAAACATCACTGCAGATCCATCTCACCCTGGATACAGCTCCTTCCCTCTGGTAGGTACTACAGAGCACTGTTCGCCAAAACAGACACAGGAACAGTTTCTACCCACAGGCCATCACTCTGACCAACAGTTAACTGCCATGTACAATAACACTCGGACTCTTAATGAAATAATCTATTCTAACACATCTACTTATGCTGTGTATACTGTATGTACTGTATCTACAATAGACTGTCATATCTACCTACCTCATGTACATAAAAGACACCTGCACATAAAATATTTATTTCAGCATCCTTTTCATTCTGCACCATTGCACTATTGTCTGTCTACAAATGTTTGTTTATAGATATGTTTAACAGTACATACCAGGCCAATAAAAGTGATTCTGATAAAAGTGATTCTCATTCTAATTTTTTTTCCTGTCGGTCAGTCTAAAATATGTCAGGGAGTAATGGGACAAGAAAGAATAAAATAATGATATATCATTATATAATGAATCAACATTGATCAGAATAATCTTGATTATCATTTTGGCCGTAATCATGCAACCCTTACAGTGGTGATTACCAGCTGTTACTGGTGGAAGTATAATGATATGAAATGACCTACTGGGAGTCATTCAGCTTCCCCTGCATGGTCTGCACCTCCAGAAGACAGCTCTGATATTCACTGTGCACAGCTAATGCAGTGTGGCATCAGAGCAAGGCAGCCTGAAGCTCCTCTGCAGTCACAGCCAGGGCCTACTACTGTACTTAATATAGACTACACAGATTAATTGAGTACCAAGTATAGGATATCCTATATTATTGTAATATATTGTAATCATACGATGGACACGAGTCCATCTGTATTTCCCTGAGAAGTCTCATCACCAAAGACACAGAAGAACAGTGCACTCATTCAAAGCAGGGCCACAGAGTTACATCTAGATGGTAACCCTAGATTTGCGAAGAAGCGCACTCAATTTAGCACAGTAGTGCTTGACTCTGCACGCGCTAGCAATGGCAGACATACCAGGAGCTGCTTCAAATTATTCTTGTCTCTTCAATTTTTCAGCTCTTCAATAATGAATATCACATCACATACTGAGCAGAGCTAACAGTGGAGGAGTAACAGGCCGTTCAACTTGTCACGTCATATTTTAAGTGTCAAGCCACTCATTGTGTTCACACGAGATGTGTTGTCTAGGCAGCACATCAAAACCAAGAGCTGTGAAAGTACCAACAGGAATTCACTCTGACAACCCGAGTGACTCACCAACTAGCTAATGTATTGAAATAGTTTGAGGAAGGTCAGAGACAAACTGTTCTCTCAAACTGCACTCCAGAAAGCAGCAAAAAGCAATGAAAGAGCTTAAACATAGAGCAGATTAATCAGCCCAGCTATTTCCTCTCAACCTTTTGCCTTCATGCAACTGTCTTTAAAAGCACAGTGTGAATGGTGGTAGTGGGATGTCTCCCTACCTGATCATTCTAGCTCAATGCTAATACATATTGAGAATTTCTATTAACACAAATGGAAATTAGCATCTTAATCGCGTAATATCATCTTAAACGATGGATTTTATTTCACATGCTTTACATAAAACAGTGTGCTAATGGTAAATGGTAAATGGACCTGTACTTGTATAGCGCCTTTCTAGTCTTCCGGCCACTCAAAGTGCTTTTACACTACATGCCACATTCACCTTTTCACACACATTCACACACAGAAGGCAACGTCCATCCAGCAGAAACTAACTCATTCATACACATTCAAACACCGATGCACAGCATCAGGAGCAATTTGGGGTTCAGTATCTTGCTCAAGGATACTTCGACATGTGGCAGGAGGAGCCGGGGATCGTACCAACAACCTCCCGAAACAAACTAGCTGCTGACTTCACATTGGATGGAGTTAGCTCCATCTGCTACTCTGTGGCTTCGACACTCCACAACTATAGCAAAACTCAAACTCAAAATTCCCAGTGGGTTTAAAAAAATACAGTCACCATACATATACAGTTGCAATCAGAAATATTCAACCCCCTCACCTCAAAAGACATTATAGTGATGTGGATGAAATATAATGACAATAAATGAGAAAAAACCTCATTAAACAACAAAAGATATGTATTGATACATTTGAGTTATTTTGACAAGAGCAGTTGACTTAACTTTGAAGTTCAAATGAAAAATGTAACTCTTAACACGTGCAGTATTATTCAACCCCCAGCTTCGGTACTTTGTGGCGCATCCTTTAGCTTTTATAACTCCTAACAAACATTTTCAGTAAGCGCTGACAAGCTTCTATCAACTCTCCATCGGAATCTTTGCCCATTCTTCATGTGCCAAAGCCTCTAGCTCAGTGATGTTTGATGGCTTCCATGCTGCAACTGCCTGCTTTAATTCCCACCAAAGATTTACAATGGGATTTAAATCTGGTGACTGAGAAGGCCACTCCAGGACGTTCAAGGATCTTTTTCTCAACAAAGCTTTGGTTGACTTGAAGGTGTGCTTGGGGATCACTGTCTTGTTGGAAAGTCCAATGATCACCAAGGTTAGACAGAATCATCAACAGAATGCATCATGTTACTCTTTAAAATGGCCTGGTATTTCTGGGAATCCATGATGCCAGGTACACGATAAAGATTAGCAGTTCCTGCCACAGAAAAACAGCCCCACATCATCAATCACCCACCTCCATGTTTGACCGTGGGGATGGTATTCTTCTGGTCATAAGCCTGGCCTTTGTTGCTCAAGAGTGGAGTGTGTCTTGGAGTCCGGCCATGAGGTCTTTGTTTATTCAGTGCACGTCTTATTGTTGCCATTGAAGCACTTGTACTAGCCTTCATCATGTCATCCTGTAGGTGTCTTGCAGTCACACAGGGGTTTCTCTTAGTTAACCTGACTAAGTTGCTAAGGGCTCTTGATGAAATGTTGGGCTTTCTTCCACGGCCAGGCAGGTTTGCAGCTGTTCCATAAGTTTCCTTGTAACTTCCTTATAATGCTGCCAATGTCCATTACATTTTTGGGAAATCTTCTTATACCCAAGGCCTTCAGGTGTGATGAAATAATGTCCTCTCTCAGCTTTTGTGGAAGCTCCTTTGTCTTTCCCATGATTGCAGCTCACCTTCAATACCTTCATGGGTGGGGTTTATATATATATATCCCAGCTGAAGCAAATGAAGGATCATTATAGATTTCCCAAAGGCCTAATTATGTTTCAACTCCACTTTAGGCCATAAAAACTGTCAGACAGCTTTAAAAACAGCAAAATTATATAGGGGTTGAATAATTATGACTATCTTAACTAAATATACTCTTACACACAAATACTACATCATGCATGTTCTGTGTTGATTTTATGTATCACTCAACTCAAAGAAGTCATCCGAAGCAGAATCTTGCTCTTTGAAAAAACTTTGGGGGAGTCGAATATTTATGATTGCAACTGTACATTCTATTTTATTATTACTATTATCATTACTAACTTGTTCAGAACAGACAGCTAAACCTAAACTCCAGTATCTGGCCCAACAATGACAAAAGGCATTTTCACATATTCTTGACGGTATTTTAGAGTTTCCTTAAAAACAGTAAAAAGTTATTTATAACTCTGCATTCAGGGGCATATACTAATTTTGTGTTCTCTTTAATGACACCTCCAATGTTTCCCGAGGGCTAATGTATTACAGACACCTATGGCCAGGCATCACTGATTACCGTACAAATGCACAACTTTATCATCTTATTTCAGTGATTTTGGTGAAACTGGATCCTGTTTTCTGATGTCCTCCAGCTTCTCAGGTTCAATTCTCTGTGATTTAGTTTCCTGATTGACAGAAACTGTCTGCTAAAGTAGCTAAGCACTAATTAACTGCTGCTAACTCTATCTGCCATTGGCAGCCAATCAACATGTATGACAAGTCCCTCCCCCAGGAAACAAGAAACATGGAAGTCTGTTTTCTGTTTCATGGGGACTATAAAGGCTCACATCTGTGCTGTGTGCAGTTTTCAGGGGTTCAGTTAATTAGCTTACCCTTATTAGTATAAATGTGGTGGACAAAATAATAGGAACACCTGTCAGTGTACCTACAAGTCTGGAAACTGAATGCACGTGTCTCTTGCTTTTACTGCTGGATACATCCAAACCTCTTGGGGGTCTTTCCAGAAAAGAGAAATGGATCTCAATGGTGACAGGAAGTGTTATCAAAACCTGAAGAAGCTTGAAAATTCTCAGACAGCTCTCTATTACTGCCTCCAGTGTATTTTTAGGGATTGAGCCAGTGTCAAACACTGTGAGGTCTCTATTGTATTTGCTAAAGTTATTATTATTTGCGGGAATCGGTCACTGCATTTTTGACCCCCTTAACATATATACGCAAACTCAAATTTTATTTGGTAAAGTTGTCAGGCCTGGTGAAAATGGGATATGCTATGCGTCGCTTTCAGATCGGCCACTACTAGGTGGCACTACTATTAAGAAAGTAGGTTTAGGCTAATAACTCCCGCATCGTTTGTCTCACATTCCAAAAACCTATATCCACGCGTTCGGTGAATGGAGCTGCATCTCCCTGTATAGGCCACGCCCACTTTTGCCTAGACTTTTTTTCCGCTAGAGCGCAAAATGTCCAAAAACTACGTTTGCGTGTTCCATCCTTGCACTTTTGTCTGATTCGCATGCAACTTGTCATGTAGCATCTGGAGACTGTCCTGGCAAAAAAACTAATTTAAAGTATTTTGATATTTCAAAAAATGAGCATGTTATAAAATTAGCACTTTCTGTAGATTATGTTCAAAATAGGAAGTGGAGCATTTCTCCACATTGGTATGTCCAATTGACACCAAGCTTGGGTCCATAGTTCCACATGTCTTCCTTAGGCATCATGTACAATTTCAGGTCATTGCCACAAGGTGGCGCTCTTTATAATGAAGAAGTTTATATCTCCACATCGGCATGTATGATTAAAACAAAACTTGGTACGATGCTTGCCAATGGCTCCCTGAGGCTTGCTAAAAAATGTGTCAACAATCCGCCACTAGGTGGCGCTCTGGTGGCAGTGTAAATCACTCTGCAGAGAATGTAATAGTTATGAATATGAAATTCACATGGCACGTGTAGACTGGTGCCTGTAGCTCACATACCAAAAATCCTGTTTGTCGTGTTTGGGGCGCCCCTTACAATATTTCAACAAAGCAGCCCCGGCGCCACGTTTCACCAATATGTATGAAACACGGTAGGCACGTGTAACGAGACCTACAGAAAAGCCTCTTGGACCCATGCCCTAAAACCCACAGGAAGTCGGCTATTTTGATTTTCATTTTAACTCTCGGTGGCCATTTTGTTTGTCATTTTCACTTTTTTCCCATGTATTTGAACAAAGTCCTACAAGGGAATTTATCGGATCCGCTTCAAAATTGGTCAGCAGTCAAAAAATGTTGCTGACTGAACGCTGTGCTATTTGCGTGAAGGGCGTGTCCATCGTGTGCCATCAAAGTGGACCATTTTGAATTCTGTGGTCATTTTCAGTGAATTTTTTCCTTGTATTTGAACGCCTCATAGGGAACTTATCAGATCTGCTTCAAAATTACAGTCAAAAAATGTTGTTCATTAAAATTTGTGCAATTTGTGACTGTACTTTGAAGGGCGTGTCTGTAGCGTGACATCAAAGTTAGCCAGGATCAATCGAATGTCAAACTGTGATACCATTTCCAGCATTTTGCAGTGATTTTAAAATTCAATCACTACAATGTAGACGCGTTGGTGATCAAAAGTTAATCAAATATTTACTGTGCGTCAGACGGCGTGTCCGTGGTGTGGCGCTGAATTTCCACAATTCGCAGTGAAGAGTCTCGCTATGAACACATAAGTCTTTTGCACAGTGTCTGAAACCCATGACAACGTAGAGTGGTCTCCCTCAGCTTCTGGCGACGAGGGCTTGGGAGTGGGGTGATGTGAATATGATCAGTTACTGTGGATTTCCCTGAGGTTAATCCTCATGCAGACTGGGACTTACAGTACTTTGCATGCGTGTTGAAATGAGTGCACAGTGGATAAACTGTCATTTACACATTATAATAAGATTAACATCCTTCTGCATAATTACAATAATGATTTGCATTTAATTTTACTTTAAAATGTATACACTTAACTTCAGTTTCAGTAAAAAAAATGTGTTCTTAATGGAGTTAAAGTCCATCAGAATATGAATGAATATACATATATAAATATAATCCATAAGATGTATTCTCTTCAAACTTTACACTTTGTCTTTTCAACTGGCTCAGCCTCCGCTGTACACAAATAAGTGCTGGTTGGTGGATCAGATACACACCAAATTGAACACCAACTCATAGCACCGTTAATTCACCATCTTATTGTGTGTGTGTGTTTGTGTGTGTGTGATGGTATTTGAGGAGTTACCTCAATTATTAGTCCATTACCATAGCAACAACCAGGCTCGCTGCTTCCTGTCTGGTGCTGGAAAGAGGTAACTCACAATAGCTGTAGCTTGTTGCATGCATCGAGGTCTGAAAAGTGAAGCCAACATAAAACCTGCATTCCATGTAAAGGCCAGCAGGGGGAGCTCCATTGGCTGTATTAAAAAAAATGGGAAAAATGATCCAACGTCTTACTTGATTTATTAGCTCAGTAAACCGTTTCCTAATGAGTTTATGGTCTCAATCTCTAATTTAAAGTCTTCTTCCATACAGCATGATGTTCATTAAGTAAATGTTGGTCCCATTTACAGTAAAATAGATGATTAAGCCACACATCGATGAGAGCAGCCATACATCACTTTCTTGTCTTCAGTCTTAGTGATGGTGCAAATAAAGTTTTTACTCTGAAAAAATATGGCTCTACCATAAAACAACCACTTGTAGAATGGAATATGGAGCAGGGGGTATTTTAACCTTAATAATTCACATAAACTGAGCTGACCTATCTTCTAATAATAACCTTGTAAACAGCATAAAGGAATGTAGGAAGTGGAGATAAAACCCACGTAATTAATAAACACAAAAACAGTGGTTCTGCTTCGCCACATGGAATTAGTTTACAGTGACATTACATTGGACAGACGACCAAAACAAAAAAATAAAGTGTTTTAATGACAGAACCAGTGACAGATGTCAGTAATAGGAGGGTTAAATAAGGTAGTTGGATGTTACAATGACACAACATAGTTGTTTGCCTTGCCGGCTGTAGGATTTAGGCTCCTAATAGTTAAAAAGCAATACAGTATTCTTATTTTATGGTATTAAATTGACAAAGACCTCGGAATTTACATTTACCACCAGTCAACTAAACCCATTGGGGTGACATAAGCGAGAAATAGGCAACGCAGTAACAGAATCTTGCTTCGTATTTGATCAGCACTGCTGATCAAAAGGTAGCCCTGCCAAAAGCTTTATCGTCTATTTTAAATTGGACCATAATTTACTAAATGAACATCATAATGTATTGAAGAAGATGTGAAACTTGCGACTGAGGCCCTAAACTCATCAGGAAACTGTGAGCTCATAAAGGAAGTGTCAAGTCGGGTCACACTTGCTCTTGCTAGATGTTTCTTGGGCGTCAGCGAGCTTATGTCTTTGGAAAGTTCACATATAGTGTATGGGGAAGAGAAAGCTTATGGTGCTTCTTGACTCCCTCTAATGAAAAACCATAACAGTACTTACCCTGGATCATGACCCCCACTAACCCAGCACATACAATCCCTTTTACTCTGGGCCTTTCACACGTACAGGCTAACTAGAACCTAATACAAAGCTGAGTTGGACCATAAACAGCACTGTGTTAAAACAGTGCAAGAGGCTGCTATGGTAGGGGCGTGTTATTTAAAGTACTGGTGAAAAAATGCACTTGGATCCAGGAAGTCCACTTGGAGTTACACAATGTGTTTAAATGCATATAGGATGCCAAAACACTGTACAGCTGCACATGTGCCACACAGAGCCCTCTACACTGGCACCCCTGTGGTGTCGATGGACTGGCCCCCAGTCAGGGGAATGACAGGACAGCTTTTTTTGCTAAAAAAAATTTAATTATATTTTATTTATTACAATTAATGGATTAAATAGTGACTGATAACATATA